GAACTTTACACATTGCTAAGGTTATTTGTCCTAAGCTAAAACATATTTGAAGATAGGACAAACTATCCAAGTATATTACACAACGGACTATTCGATTTAGGAAAGCATGTTATATTTTCACATAGGACAAGATATTTAATGTTATATTGGGTTTATTAAAGTAGATAGGACTTTGTGATTTTGTAGATAGCTAGAGAATACAAAGAGCTTTCCAACAGTACCAATATCACAAAACTGTAAATTTTGCAGTTAGAACAACTACTCTTAGGACGGCAGAATAGGACAATGTTAATTGATAAAAAAGTTGCATTGGGTGAGTACTCATGATTGGTTATTAGTAAGATGCCTTGGAAAATATGATAGGTCAAAAACAAGATCTTTATTGGTTAAGTTATGTAACAGCTATATAAAGACCATGAATTACAATAACAAAAGAATTCTCAAGAAAACAGGTGTAGTGATAAGTGGAGATATAATAACAACAGAGAAGTTCAAAATTATGACAGCAGTTGTCTCCAAGTTTGGTACTGATGGTTATACTTGAACGAATTTCGGAACTAACTATATCAAATTCAATGAAGAATCAACTATCACAAAAATCACTGAACTAGGTCAGTTGAACTAGCTAATTCATTATTTTTTTTCACATTACCCTCAGTTTTGTGTATATTATTATTCTATTTCTTCATTTGAAAAACGTTAGTTACAGTTTTCATTCGCCGTTAGGTTAGGATTGTGCTTAAAGGAATGACTAGTGTAAATTACTTGAAAATGGGATGACTTAATGTAAGATCGCTGTTAGCTTCTATTCAGGAATTTAAAACTGTAATATCAGATAACGAATCAGATATATTCTCAATATGTGAATCAGCTAACTAGCGATTCTGGCGAGAATCAGATTGCTATTGACATATAAAAACTCTACCGAGTGGACAGAATTTCAAGAGGACGAAGCATCTGTATTTAAGTTCGTAGTTATATTCCCAGTAAAAATATTTTTTGTGCGAGTCATATTTGTGAATAGCTTTAGATCAAAATTAAAATAAAAAAACAATCCACAACTATTGTAGTAATCTATATATCTCTGTCTGAGGATGTTACTACATTCATACATGTATTTGAAAATATTCTTAGAACATTGTACCCAACTGTGGACAACTACGTCTGTACAGGGGATTCGAATATCAATTTTCTTCTAGAATCAGAACATAGATAAACTTTTTTTTATTTTGAACTCCTTCAACCATAGTAATACCATAAACACCCCTACCAGGAATACAAAGCGATGAGATACCTCATTGGACGTCATTATAACTGTGGTGATATATCAGATAGTTTGCTGGTGAGTTGTAAATTGCCATCATCACCATCGGGATGTCGGAAACTATGACAGATACGAAGATGGTTGAATTGGGGCGAAGTTGCGCATTCTTCTGACTAACAATATGCTCTTGAGAAAGTTCTGAAATTCCGAGTATATCCGGAGATATCCAGAAAAAACAGAAATTTTTGAAAATGGTTTTCATTTTTTTCTGGTTTGATTTTTCGAAGGACTCGAAAATACATTCCACATCCACATTGCCATTTCTTCCTGCTACATAACGGTGTTTTTAGATTCGCTATCCGACGTTTCGTCTTCCGGCAACCATCATCAATTTATTTATCCTTATGTGCGCTACATTGGTTCCTTCCTGATCTGAATAGAACCATATTCAACCTCTGCAATTATGTTTCATCAATTATTATTCTTTTTAGAAAACTTGGAGATGAGGAAAAAAATTAATTCTTATCTGAATAGACTTTGATTTTGATGTTTATAAATTCGACTTTCAATTTGTTACACTCAATGACATTTTAATTCACTTGTTATTAAAATGGCATACACAAATGAGGAAATGCCTGATATGCATTACGTTTACGGTCTGTCACAGGGGAATGGGTTAGAAGCTTCTAGAAGATATGCTGAAATGTATCCTCAACAACCTTAAAGGGGGTACATAAAATTTGTATAACAATTTTTTCACAAGCACTCAAGAAGTTACAATATTGAAATTGACCCGACGTTTTGTACTACCAAAAAAGACACTTAGCCAGTAATTTATTTGGTTTACCCCATGGTTGTAAAGGGCGGAAAACGCAACCCCTAAAATTTATTTCCAATGTAATTTTTTGTCTTATCATATGTTTACCATTCAAAAATGTATTTCTGATAGCCTGTTTCATTCTGAACAAAAAATGTCTGTTGGGTTTTTTGCCCAAAATAAACCAATTCGCAGCAATAAATTATTTTACGAACCATCAACTGATATTATCAATTCCTGATCAATTCAAGATTGCAATTTTGAAAGTACTACCAAAAAAGTGTATTCCAAGTAATTTCAAATATCTCAGAGCAATCAGTATATTGTCAACCTAATCGAAAATTTTGGAAAAACGGAATGGAACTCCAGATAAAAGAATATCTCGTGTTCTTCTCAATATTACCATCAATTCAATCGGGTTTTCGTAATAAAGCTTACGACTGCATATTGTCGACAATGTAATTAGAGCAACAGATCACGGAACTGGTACTTGTATGATGGATGATGGAATTGGCCAATATTTGATGAAAATCCATAACTAACTCATTCAAAAACACTTTATTGTAAGATTTTCAGCAAACAGCCTTACACGTCTGAAGAAGCCATTGTGTTGCGTTTTTCGAAAAACTTCCTAGTGAAAATCTAACAGTATAGTATTTTTCCATACGAAATATACATGTTTGGTTTTATTGAAATTCAGTGGGGCTTTTGATTTCATCCTATATTGGTCTTCCAGATACTGCTGTTTCACTCTTTGGATCATTCTTGGATCAGCAAAAGGTCAATAGAGACGGAGTTGACTCCCAATATACTTCATCAAACCCTTGCGTTCCTCCAGGGTCTATTTTGTGTTCACCGCTATTTGCCATGTATACGTCGAATTTGTTCAAGTCTTAAGTACTGCAAAATACACGTATAGGTTAATGACACCTAACTTTTTTGTAGCTTTCCTCCACAAATGATTGGTAACGCTTATTCTCGAATTAATAAAGATCTCGAAGTTTTCATAGAGGCAGCCTCAAACCACTGTCTGATAATTGATAATAGTTAATCAAATGTTAGTGTTTTCGGCTTCGAAATCAATCGCTGTACTGTACTTAATTCTCGTGATGTTAGAATAAATGGAACTTCTCTGACAACTGTTCAAGAAGCAGAAATTCTTGAAGTTCTCCTAGATGTAGATCTCAAATTTGAAAAACACGTCAATATACTCTCACAACGTGCATATTTTATGTTGAAGATTACATACGGTCAAAGACCGTTGTGAGGCAACAATTATTTCCAATTTCCATTATGCAGATATGCTCTTCGGTACATGTTCAACCGGTCAATATAAATCAAAATTCAAAAAGTTCAAAGTTCTTGCGATTGATATATGGCATAAGGAGGCGATAAAGTATTTCACACGAACTTTGAACTGTTGACTGGTTGAATATGTGTAATGGAAGAATTCACTTTGTGAGTTTTGAAAATGGTGTAATAACCGAAAATAATCAACAAATATAAAACTATGATGGAAAATAGGCAAGAGTGTGTTTTTATAATGTATTCTCAATAAAAATTGCACTTCGCGTTTTATTTCCAACTTATCGAATATAGCTACGAAAGGTCATTCGGAACACCTGAAAGCCTATAATAAATCCAGGTTGATGTCTGGTAAGATAAAAGCACCAAATGGTCAAAGACGAAACGGACTGGTTTAAGTTTGACGATAGTCGTGTCATGAAGTGTTCTGGCGATGCATTGAATTTATTAGAGCCTCCGGAGACACCCCACATTTTTTTCATAAGAGAGAGGAAATTGTTAGATCAAGATCTTCAGATGATGTGGTGCTGCAGGTTTTTCCGGGTTTTCCTGCAGCTGAAAAAGCAAATGCGCCACTGGAATCAATGAAGTCGCCCCGGAGCGTATTGTTCGAAATAATACATTTGAAGCACCAGTTTTTGAAGATAAATAAATGGTTTTGAAAATCAGGCATATTGTAGAATGGTGCATTTATTATCAAATTCTTACAAATACTGAAAGATGCAATGAAATTTTGATCTTGTATACTGTTTGGTGCTCTTTTCAAACATTAGTTTAAGAATCAGAGAACGTTCTGTCTGGTAATGTGGAAGAGAACTTGATTATTGGTAGGAACGATTTTGAAACAAAGATGAACCATTTGGTGCTTTTATCTTACCAGACATCAACCTGGATTTATAATAGGCTTTCAGGTGTTCCGGATGACCTTTCGAAGCTATATTCAATGTACTAGTAGTAACCAATATAAGTCATTTCACTTTGATTGTGTGACTGAAAGAAAATAAATGTGATATATGATTCATTGTTGATTGTTTTTTTTTTGTTCCAGGTAAGTGCAACCATAGTGTCAACGGGTGTGTCCAAAATATTTCAGAAGCGATTGGTGAGAATTAATTTGATGAGAATCGATGGATGACAAAATATTCCTTGAAAGGAGCAGTACTTCTTTGACTTTCCCAACAAAAATTATTGGAATTTTGTGTGTCAATACATCTCATACTATTCATACTGTGAAAATTGTGGTTAATTTCTAGAAACACTGCATTTAGAGATGATTTCTGGTGAAATTGTTTGCTGGAGTCTACTGATTATATGACCATACTGATTATATGATTTGGATGCGGGTATAAATCTTGATCACTTCATTGAAAACCTCTGAGTGTTTGAGATAACATGTTTTTTTTTCTACCGTCACAACTTTGTGATTTCAATGCGGTTTTGCACGACTACGATTATTTTAGTCTAACATCACGTAACTCATCTACTGAACTATGAACCAATATATAATGGTGAGTCTTTTAGGAATAAGCCAAATGTCGAATGTTTGATAAGTGTTACGTATCCTAAGATCCTTCAACAGTAGATTCAAAATATTATATGGATAAAAATATTCGATAATCTACAATGTGTTCTATTCAGATAATTATGTTTACAATTTTGAGAGAAGAATTCTGTTATTGGATTCGTGAACTGAACAATTGAATGGTGCGTGCCTAGTGCAGAGATGTTTCTAGTTTCTTCATCTTTGGAGCTTCAGGTTGCAGGTTCCGTTTAAGTTGTTTGTCGTAGTAGCGTTAGATACGAGTACGACGTTTTCACAATCTAAAACAGAAAAATTATAATAGACTTCAAATATTCAGGAAAAAATATTTCAAAGCAATTCTTCACAATACATTCGATCAATCAAATGTTTGTTCTTTCATATAATTTTCCAAACAAAAAATTATATCGCAAGGTTGTGTGCTATTGATTTGATTATTGACAACTCTGGCAAACAAAACTGTAACTACCACCCCTACAAACGAGGCCATTAGGTTTAGGGTCACCAGGGGCTGCCCTCAAGATGATATCTTCCCTTCTGTGGTCGTTCATTCTGATATTTGTTGTTGTGAATATAAAACGATTGAACTGGTTTGGTAGAATATTCGCCATCTCCTTACAAAATATTTGTATATGACCGGAATAATGATAATAATAATAATAATACTTTTGAGTTTGGAGTGTCTACATGACAGAATGGTGCTGGATACAGCCTGTAAAGTCGTCAGGAGTTCGGATCCCCTTCTCTGCATGGACCGTGACCATGAGAGAACAGGAATTGGAGCATTTCTCTTTAGGGCAGCTGCCCGTGTAGCTGATGAACTCGGTATAGTTTTCGACACTGAACGAGCTGACGACAACTCTGTCACCGAGTTGGAACCTGTTCAGCAAAAAGCTCAGATAAAAGCCGCAGAGATCACCTTACTCCTGGGGAGACACAAGGATAAGCCAATGCATGGGGTTTCCTTCAATAACATTGGAGACCTTGGCTTATCATAGTGCCTGACCTTCGCTTTTCTCGGGTCAAGGAGGCTGAAGTCGAAAACTGAGGGGTTCATCATGGCTTGCCAGGATGGTGTCCTCAACACCTTAGTGTACCGTAGTCGCGTGATGAGTATAGAGGTTCCTGACACAAGGTGCAGAACCTGCCGAGAGGCGCCCGAAACCCTAATGCACTTGCTATCAGCATGTCCAGCATATGCGGTCTCGGCCTATATCCATGGACATCTTACGGTATTGACGAGACACCGGTGTTGCCCTACGCTCCGGGGGATATTGAACCCGTTGTGGGGAACGAGAAGTGCTGAATTTATTGGAACTATTCGTTTTCCACCCTCAGGCTCATACAAGTTAATAAGCCTGATGTGACTACATCAGAGCAAAACGATATTTGGAGTGGAATTTTCAGCACCTGACGAGACGAATATCGTCAAAAAAGAGGAGGAAAAACGAATAAAATATCGAGATTTTCTCTTCGAACTCCGCAGACTTTATCCAGATGGTTGTTCTGGTTATTGGAGTCCTTGGTGGAATGATGTCCTCTCGAATTTAAAAATCATACCGGCTTGCTGCACTGAGGCAGAAATCTTAGCCGCACAGATGCAGAAGGCTGTCATTCTTGGCTCACTGCGCTTGTTCAGGGCACATGATTCTAGGACCCAATGATCACTTACCCCACACTACGGACACTACGGTGAAAATAATAAGAATAATAATATTGATTTCAGTGAGGTCATGATGAAATAATACTGAAGTCTGTTTATAATCAATGTAGTACACACTAATAATAATTTTCAATTCTACATCTCAATTTTATTTATGAAAGTATCGAACATAAAACGATATCTCATTATTTGCATTTCATTTGATATATACAAGGCAGTGTCAGTAGATCATTATTTCTATTGATTTTTTTTGATTGTCTTTATGAATATCAATCCAATATTGTTGACCTATCAGGTCCAATTACCATAGATTTTCAGTTTTGATTCATTCTCTATTTGATATCAACACTTTCCGATGGCTTTCTTTAGTGTTATGATAATAATATGTTGATCCAGTCCCAAGCCAAAATTTTCATTGATACATCGATTAACTTGTTAAAATTTAGCATCTCAGGAGGAGTTTTCGAAATACTCTTGTACATTTCATCAAACAATTTTTGTAAAATTGATTTATGTTTACTTTATGATAATATACATTCAGGTATAGAAACCGCTGTTGAGCCTTGTAAACGTTGTCAATTGCTTCAACTGCGGTGTATTCTCTGGAATACATAAATAATGTGCACCGCAGCGTTTTTCCATGTGGTTTCTTCAATAGGCCTGATGCATAATTTTTCGCAGAAAAAATTTCGTTTTTGAGTCGGTTTTCATTGGTATCCATCTATATACTTGTGATGCACTATTTGGAACGTTTGAAAACTTATATAGAAAGTTTCAATTCTCTTTTCTTCATTGTTATGAATATGTTATATTCAAGGAATGTAAACTTTCACGGCGGAAAGTAACTACTTCAAAGATATTTCTCGGATATTTTTGGCCGTGGTCTGCAGGTTTTCATGTCTAACATTTTATCTAATACTGCGGTACACATTATCAAAGGCAATGAAGTAACGGTTGAACTGCTCGAGTAGTTTTCAACACAGAAAATACAATGCTGGAGTTGTCTTCATAGATGCGCGTGCCTTCGCGCATCTATGCGCGTTACTTGGGTACAATTAAGAAAAGTGCCAGATTTCAAAAATTTACATTGCCTCTTTCCTGTTTCATTCTACTGAAATCATAGGTGTGTTTCTGAATTTCCATTGCGTCTCTATATGTTCTTGGATAGAGATTTCGAGTTTTATCGAGTATTTCTGTAACTCTGAACGAGATAAGGTAAGTGTCATCTTCAAGAGCTGATCTGTCGGTTTGTCTAAGGCGACAATTTTTCTTGTGTTCAGAAAGACGGGAACCTGTACTTCTTTTCTTGTTTTCCAAGGGATCCGGTATACCCCGGATGTTGCTAAATGCTCTTTCGAGGCCTTTGCTGACCTTAGACTTTCTCAGATAGTTTTTGAATTGTGATTCTTTGTACCCATTTCTTCTGAAGGCTCTTTGTAAGTCAAATGTACCATCTTCACGTTTGTTCACAAAAACATTCAAGGAGGATTAGATTTCGCGTTCTATTGTTAATTGGATTTTCAGGTTGAGTGTGTCTTCGCCATTTTGCCATACCACGAACGTATCATCAACATAATCCAGCCAACAACATGATTTCATGGCCACTTGTTCTGAAGCCCGTTGTTCGAAATTTTCCTTGAAAAATTTAGCCAGTGCCGGCCTCAATGGACTGAAATTGTGATATCATCCATTTGTTCGTAAAAACACCATTCTAATAGAAATGAGTTGATGATAAATAATGATCGAAGAGGGAGTTAATGTCTGCTGACAATATTTCGATAATTAGCCGTGTCCTTGATTGGAATCATCGTGTACAAGGAAACCTCGTCGAAGCTCACTAGTATGTCCACAGGACCAATCTTCATACCTTTAACTTCCTCGATGAACTGTCCCGAATCTTTGATACATAACTCTGTTTTTCCAATAAGCGGCTGCAATAGAGTTGTCAAATATTTGGTCAGATCACGAGTTGGTGAACCTATCGCATTCACCATAGGTCAAAGTAGCACATTCTCTTCAAGGATTTTTTTTGGTAAGCCATATAAACGTGGCAAACATGCTTCGGCTTTTTGTAGATCCTTCTTCGTATTCTCTCCAAAAATTGATGAATGGATAAAAAGATTAATTTCAAATTTTCATAAGTTCATCTTGTCTCGAAGAGAACGCGAAGAAGATCCTACAGAAATTCAAATCCTTTTCGCCACGTTTGTATGGCTTACCAAAAATCCAAAAGGAGAATATACCATTTGACAACCCTAATGCAGCCGTTCGTAAAAAAAACACGGTCATTTCTTGAACACACAGGTGAGATTATCAAACAGATTAGAGGAATCTTGTTAGGAATCAAACGTTAAAAAATAAGACCTCGTTAGTCCTTAGCTCGCACAAGTTTCTCAACTTCTGAGAGTTATCATTCGTATGAAGGTGAGAGCTGACTGACGAAAAAACAAATTTTAAACAAACAAAACAAATTTGTAGTTAGGTCCTGAAGACATAGTAGTGAGCTTCGGCGTGATCTCTTTGTACATGATAGTTCTAATCGAGAACACGATACGGATAATTGGCGAAGTATTCCAGCACATTAACTGCTTATTGTTCATCAGCAACTCATTTTCAGTGAGATGCTTTTTTTACGAAGAAACGGATGATACGGCACTGTGCCGTCCTTCAAGTCCGGCAGTGGTGAATTTTTTTATTGAAAATGTTGAACAATGGGCTTGAGTACTTGTGATGCACTATTTGAAACTTTTGGTGTAGTAATGAATATTGTTGGAATCATATCCCAACACCAAACTATTATTTTTAACACCTCGATACGTGTTTGAATCAGCAAGTGATGATCTTGAAGAGAAATATTTCTCTTGTTATTGATTCCTTGGTGATTGAAACACGTATCGAGGTGTTAAAAATAGTAATATTCAACGGGCTTTACAGCAAGCGACCGTGAAACCATATTGTTGGCTACGTTATGTTGATCATAGGTTCGTGGTATAGCAAGACGGTGAAGAAACAACTAACGATTTCCTATCATATCTGAAATCACTCTACCTGAAGCTTCAATTCCACAATGAAGCTAGAAACCAAAGGGACTTTAACCTTTTTGGATGTTCTTGTGATCAGACGTGATGACGGTACTTTGGGCCATAGAGTGTACAGAAAACCAGCACACATAGAAAAGTACCTGAATGACAACGCCTAGCAGTAACCACAGCTATCCATAACTTTTCATAGTGAAACAAAAGCCTTTAAGAACAAGGAGCAAAAGATCGACGATTATTCAATCGAGCTGAAGAGTCAAGCAACTGAAAGCTTAATGAAACTACTTCAACGACATACAACAAAGAAATCAAAGATAAGGCAAAATGGAAATCTTGGAGGAAGTTCTGTGAGAGCATCTCTAATTTACCTCGCAGCTTACGATTTCATAATATTCTCTCTAGAGATCTGACTGCTAGAATCGAGTCGACACATTCACTACCTCTAGAAAAGGGACGTTAGAACTTTTTATAGAAAACCACTTTAGGGAATAATGGACGGACACATTAGGAAGGTGGCTTTATACCCAGCCCCGCTGAAGTAGTTACCACCAGTATGCATATTTTGATATCGACAGATTAAGTAATGAACAACCTTGTAGAGGAAATTTTTCCAATTCTTTGACAACAAGGTGATTGTGGTTGCTGTTTTTCTCGATTTCGAAGGAGCATTTAGGATCATTGCTGGCTGAAAAAGGCATAGAAACGACCATAACTGCCTAGATCTATGCCATTCCGGTAAAAAAATAGCAACTACGACTCTTCAAGACAAGGCCATTAGGTTTAAGGTCACCAGGGGCTGCTCTCAAGGTGAAGTACCAGCTTTTGTTCTATTAATGCTCCTAATGAATAGTCTGCTCGTTACTCTCGACTGTTGTTGGACTACAGTAGATATGAACTAAGATGTTTAACAGGTCTTCTCACATGTCACTATCGCCTGAATCATCATATACAGAGACTAAGACTGTCATAACACAGTGTGTGTCGCTTTTGTTTGGAAAATGATGAAACAGCAGAGCACATACTTTGTACTCGCTCCACTGCAGATCGAATCAGGTTTTCAGAGTTTGGCAGAGCCGCTCTCTCACCATCTGACCTGGAAGACCACTCACCATACGAACTTATTGGCTTCTTTAAGAAGCTGGGTTCATTTAGTAGAGTGTGAATAGTTGTGAGCCACAATAAACCCTTGCTGGTTGCAGTGAAGGGTCGATTAGACCCACTTACTTTTGAATCAACCTAATTTAACCTTACTCCAGCTAGGCCTGTCAAGGAAAAAGCTTTCCTTTTCTATGCTGGAAATGTTACAGCCCGGAGTGAGAGAATTTCAGAGAATCACGATATGAAACCAATATTATGGCCAAAGGTAACTATCAGAGAAAATCTAAGGTCAGCTAAGAATTTCAGAGAGCCTTCACTAACGCCGGGGATATATGGAAACCATAGAAAAAATATGGGTACTCGTCTCTTTTAACACAGGGGAAATTGTCGCCTCTTACAAACTCATAAATCACCTCTAGCAGAACATGATCTTGAAGATGACAGTCACATCATCTCATTCAAAGATACAAAAATACTAGATAAAACTCGAAATCTATATCCATATATATGAGAGGCGAAAGAAATGCAATGCAATGAACAGTGTTGAAATCTGGCAATCTCCCCCAATTATTCACAAACAAAGTCAGGTGATCTATTTTGGAGATACGAAGTCACACTCACCTCCGATGATATTGAAATTTCAGCATTGTAGTTTCTGCGTTGAGAACAACTCGAGCACTTCGACCGTTACTTCATCAACTTTAATAGTGTCTTCCGCAATAGTAGACAAAACGTCAGATATAAAAACCTGCAGATTATGACCAAAAATCTCTAAAAAATAGCTTTGACATGTGATATATAAATTGTCGCCTCTTACAAACTCATAAATCACCTCTAGCAGAACATGATCTTGAAGATGACAGTCACATCATCTCATTCAAAGATACAAAAATACTCGATAAAACTCGAAATCTATATCCATATATATGAGAGGCGAAAGAAATGCAATGCAATGAACAGTGCTGAAATCTGGCAATCTTCCCCCAATTCTTCACAAATAAAGTCAGGTGATCTATTTTGGAGATACGAAGTCACACTCACCTCCGATGATATTGGAATTTCAGCATTATAGTTTCTGCGTTGAGAACTACTCGAGCACTTCGACCGTTACTTCATCAACTTTAATAGTGTCTACCGCAATAGTAGACAAAACGTCAGATATAAAAACCTGCAGATTATGACCAAAAATCTCTAAAAAATAGCTTTGACATGTGATATATTTTGTTTCAAACTTTATCATTAGATATAACGCTATACTAGGAATCACATGAATTTTCAGAAGTCTTCTTAACGATGAACTGAAGATATAATGAAAAATCAGCTTATATAGACAGAAATGATTCAAAGTAGAACCATTTTCTGATTATACATACATATGCTCAACTCTGTTTTCGATTCTGTTCTTTTCAATCATGACTTCGGCCGTGGAAGCCTATATTCTTATATATTCAATAGTCTAGCATCTGTGTTACTCACATGAATTCAGTACAGTAAAAATGAATGAAATATATCAGAAAAACTGATTATTTGTCTTACATAACTGATAAATGCTTACCATCATAAACAACGGGAAACAGAAAATTCCAAATGGCCATGCATGCAGTGTGAGCGGAATTTGACTTCTTGCTAAAGTGAATTGAATACTTCTCCTCATTTGTGTGTTGGCCTCGTACCATTTTGATTGATAAATAACTTCAGCAATTGATAAACTCTACGAAAAGTCAGTGAATACGATACTATAATGTTGATAAAAGTCGTTTACTTACTTCGTCTATGATTCTTTGTCCAGCATAACAGAGTAGAAACAGTGATACCATGTAGCCAAAAAGAAATATTGCAGCTCCTACTGGTTTAGCCTGTTGAAATTATCATTGTCTGAGTTTGTAGTCAACTGGTATCTGATGATATGATTATGTTGTGTATTCATGAATTGAAAATCAACGGAACTCATGGAAAACAAAGCATATATGGTTTGGAAAATCATTCGAATGATTCATGTATGGAGAAAACTGTGAGTTTCTCCCGGAAAACTAATAGTATCCTTCGTCTCCTGAAGACGGCAACTTGATTGGTGAAATGCGCAAGAAGAGTAGGTGTTTCATTGTTAGATGAGAAGAAATTTCACCATCTTTGATGGTGTATATTGTATATACAGTGCTTTTCAGATAAAAGTATCCACCATTAATAACTTTTGTAATACTGCTATTTAGGAAAAATCCAAAAACATGTCAATTTATGTTGGAAGGGGCAAGCATTATGGCTTATTTAAACTTACTGGAAAAGCTACCCCCTCACCCCTAGCATCATCCCTTTTTTTTAAATTACTTCTCATATTTTTTATGTAAAATTTGGATACTCCTCTTTGAGCTGATTTCAAAAATGTATAATACTTGAAGGTTAAAGTGGTTAGTTATTGATTGAAAC